ACCCCCTGCATACCCCGAGGATGTGAGGCGGTGCTCACACGCTCCTCCTGCACAGCCCGATGCGGGGTGCGGTACTGAGTGCTGATACGGGGTGTGTGTAGCTCATATAGCAATGACAGTACCGCCTGGTTATGTCCATCAGGTTTTCCTCCAGCTGCTTTGTCCTCTGCTGGGGTTGACAATCAGTAATGTCAGTCTGGAGACTGGGAGCTTTGTGTGGCGCTTGGCTTTAGGTGGCCTGACCTGTTCTGAAATCACTCAGATCCCTGCAAGACCCACACAGCTTGGGTCTTCACACCCTCACCCAGTGCCTCTGGCTGTGAATGATGCAGGGAGGGGGGGTGGTGGGCTGTGTCTGGCCCTGCATAGCTCAACATGTCTCCATGATACTCTCTGTGTGGTCCTTTCCCTCCAGCGCACAGTTCAGAGGTATTGAACAGGAAGGAGAAGAGATGAGGCACCAGAGCGATGAGAAAACTGGCGAAGAGAGCAGAGGTGAGAGGCTGCCAGAGGTTAATGCAGTGGTTCATCAACAGGGTGGCAGCCCACACCAGGGCTGAAAGCTCTTCGGGGAGATTTTCTCTCTGCCAGGCCAAGGTAAACAAACCCAAAGGTTGAAATTCAACAGGAGAAGTGCAGGAGGAGGCACGGAGGAGGAGACCGGCACTGCGGTCCTCAGCGTGGGTCTGAGTGACGCATGTGGGGAGAGGCGCCTCCAGGTCAAGCTCCCCTGACAGTAGCCTCATAGAGCTTCCCCTGCCCTGCACAGAGATGCAGGGCTGCGAGGGGAAGGAGATGTGTGGGAGCGCAGGCTAAATGCGAAGCTTTTCGGAACCGTGAAAGATGGGCTCGTGTCTTTGGCACAGAGCATCACGCGGGAGCAGCAGCCAGGGTCTCACTGCCAAACCAACCCCAGAGGAAACAAAACAGGCCCTTGGAGCAGGGTGTAAATGGTTAAGTTAAACGTTCTGGTCCAAACCAGGAGGCAGCAGCGGCTAATGGGGAAAACCACTGGGTGTGAAAGGGCTCTTTGTCCCAGCAGGAAGGCGAAGGGTGCCCAGAGGCAGTGCTCTGGGAACGCACCCTGATACGAGCCTTGTTTGCAGTGTGGAGTGCAGGCTCTGGTGGTTTTACACTGTTGTCCTTTCACAGCCAGACAAGCCCCTGCCTGAAAGCTGCTTTGACCAAATAATGCAATGGCTCAGCTGGTATGCTGTGGAAAACCAAGGCAGACCCAAGGAGGAGCTCCAGCCCTGCACCGTCCTTCCCTCTCCTTCCCTGGCTCACAGTGGGTCTCACACCCTGTGAGGACAACCAGAAAACGAGCATTCCATGCAGCAAGACCCATTTTCCCTTTAGGAGCAAGTCTCAGAGCCACAAACCAGAGGTGCTGGTCCAGGGGGAAGAGCAGGAGGCCGGCAGCACCTGGGCAGGAAAGAGATGCAATCTCAGCACCCTCCTTTCCTGAGCCAAGAGGTGCAGCAATAAAGGAAAGCAGATAACAAAAGCTACCCCTGCCAGCCACTCGCTGGGGTGATGGCCCGGCTCGACAAGGGGTCAGCATGAATTATGTTTCCTGGCAGCATGGGGTTGTGCTTTTAGAGGGATATCCGCCTGGTAGCGTGGGACAACAGGGCTCGGTGCACATCACGGAGGGGCCTGAAGCAGGGGGCAGGACTAGATCCTGATTTTGGGCATCCCCAGGAAATCCAGCCTGGTATGGTGTCAGTGATGAGGCACATCCTGCTGCTTTTCTCTTTGTGTTAAAGAAAATACAGCAAGCCAGGAGGAAACTTCCTGAATGCTTTGGGAAGTGGCTGCATTAATATTTGCTGGTTTGTACAGCTGCCCCTCAGGCAGGCACTGGCAATAGAAAATGCAACCAGTAGACAGGGTAAGCTGCTAATCCCAGACCTGGAAAAGACCCTGATAACTAATAATGTGTGCATGCATGGACACACGCTTGTGTGTGTCCTCAGATGGCGTCATGAACATGAACCATGAAGCAGACTCCATGGAGAGGTTAAAGACCATGTGGCTTCCCCATGTGCCAGGCAGATAACATGCTGGCTGTGCAAGGGGGCATGCCAGTGACAAACATCCATCACAGTGCACTTGAAGTGGATGGTGAGTTTGGACCAAGCCTGAGACGTGGAGGTTTCCTTGTATCCATCACATCCCAAGGAAGTGATGGATACAAGGGAATGCAGCCCAAATCTTGTGTGTTATCGCTCCCAGTACTCCATGGCTACAGGGGACACCTTTATGCCAGCCATACCCACCCTGAACCCAAGCCCCTGCAGACCCTCCTTGCACAAACTGGGCAGGGAGACCCCCAACATGTCTCTCACTGCCTGTGCCCGACCGCAAGGAGTAAATGCACCCATTCCTCTTGTCAAACTGCTTTTATTTGGACATGAAGACAGGACAGAGCCAGTCAGGCTGTGCACAGACAAGATGCCCCTGAGCCACGGTGTAAGGCTGCAGGGCTTCCCTTCTCAATGGATGTGAGGATTTGGCCAAGACGCAGTTCAGCTGATGACATCCTGAGCGTGCCAGTGGGGTGCACGTGTGGGGTAGGGATGAGGGACAGGGGGGATCCCCAGGACAGCTTAGAGGTTGTTCAGCTCCAACAAGGTCTGGTCCAGGACCTGGTGGATGCCGACGTTCTCCTCTTTGGCACTGGCCAGACTCTCTGTGAACACAAGGGACACCCAGCCACGCACGCAGACACAAACCCAAGCATATCCAGGGGCAGACAGACCCACGCACACCACAGCAGGCACAGACACACGCACACAGATGGACATGTCAGTACAGTGACAGCCTCCAGCCGAGCGGGGTGTCCCTGCAGAGCAGCCCCATCACTGGGATGAGCCCAGCTGCTCCAGGACCTGCCAGAGTGGCCAGGCCAGTCAGGCTGGTCACTGAAGATGGTCCCCACTCTTCAGCATCTCCATCCTCCCATGGTGCCCCCTTGCCCATGGCTGGGCCCTCTGCTGCACAGGTACTCCTGGTGGGTACCATTCCTTGGACACATCCTGCCCCAGGGCATCACCACCAGGCAGACTGTGGGCATGTGCACAAACCCTTGGCCAGCAAAAGAGGAGAGCCAGTGCCTGCTGCATGAGCCAGCAGTGGTCCACGGAGTAAGACAGTAGCCTGGGCAGGCAGAGAGGACAGCAGAGAGAGAAGGAGCAGAGATAACAAGGTGGCCGAGGCTTGGTGTTTGCTTCCAAATGGCATCCTCCTTCCCTCTAGAGATGGGGATGGGACAAGAGCTCTGCCCACCCAGCCCCATCTCCCAGCACTCATTGCTAGGCTCTCTCCTGTCCCCTGCCCCAAGTTTGGGGCAGCAGGCGCTGTGGGGCCCAGCTCCTATCCCAGCCCTCCTGGCACCCTGCAGGGACCCCGCTGCGAGGGCACCCTCCCTGCACAGTTTGGCGTGACTAGAGTGAGGAGGAAGAGGCTGGCTGCTAACTCCAGGGACAAAGGGAGGAAGGCAGTGATACGAACCACTGCACCCCTCCTCAGCAGGGGCAGGGACTGCCATCGCCACGTGGGCATCCCAAGCCATCACAAAAACCCTCACTCCTCTCCCAAGAAAAAACAGTCAGTGCCAGAAGGGTTCCCTGTCCCCCCACTCAAACAGGGCAGTTACCCCCAGGGGGATAAGACAAGGCTCTACACCCTGCCTAGCCCTAGGAAGAGGGTTGGGGCTCCCAAGCCTGAACCAGCCTGGCCAAAACGGGGCAGGGGTGCTGGGACGGGGAGCTCTGGGCGGCTCAGTTGTTAAGTTCAGTAAGGATGACCCGCAGCTCGTTAGTGAGAACACGGTTTTTCTCGGCCTCCCGCTGGGAACGCTCTATAGAGAAAACAGAGAGACATCGGCGCAGCAGAGGAAAGAGAAAGAGAAAGGTGAGTTAGTGAAGAGAGACAGCATTCCCCAAAGCCCTTGCTGGAAATCCCGCAACGGGGATGAGCTGGACTGGCAGGAGGAGGCAGCCAGACCCAGGACAGGGCTGTAGCTCCATCAGTTTGGGAACTGGGTTCTGGGGCAGGATGCTGAGGAAGGAGTAGGAGGAGAATCATGGACCCATTTAGGGATCACTGAGGAAGGTGATGGAGGAGATGACATCGCAGCTTGCAGGCAATGTCTGGGAATGGGGACAGTGAATGGACAGGACTAGGTCTGACCCTGTTATTTCAGGTCTAAAAAGTCATGGAGAATACAGCAGGAGATGAGGAAAGCTGTGTATGAGAGCCATGGGGTGGTGGGGATGATGTGACTGCGACCACCTCCTTCCACCCCACTGCCAGCACCCACGTGAGACAGGCAGATGAGGGACAGAGCGGCATGAAGAAATCAAAGGAGATTCCAAGGAAAGAAAATGCTTTATTAAGACCAACTCAGTAACCCAGACAGATAGAACATAAAAGAAGAGTCATGAGATGCAAACTAAAGAGCGATGTGCAAAGGACAGAAAGGGAGGAGCAGGGGGTTTGTATGCTGCCTGCCTGCCTGCATGGGACAAGGCTGCCTGTATAGCCAGACCCAACCCTCTATCCCCAGGGACTGAGCTTTGGCAGTGGAGGTGCTGCTTTCCCTCTGCAGGTCCTCCTCACCCTGGGCCCAGGAAGCAGCACCAGGGAGCTTTGACAGGGAAATGTGAGGGGCAGGAGGCCCCAGAACTGCAGGGTCTCTGGTACCTATGCTGCAAGGGAGCCAAGGAAGGAACTGCTCAAGTGGGGGGCTCCTGGGCACAACGCAGTTCATCACTGGGCAATGCAACCACATGGGCACTGTCCATCCAGTGTGTGGGGGTCTCAAGGGCTGCTCCCCTGCCCTGCCAAACACCCCATAGCACCTACATCTTGTCATAGAATCACATAATCAACTAGGTTGGAAAAGACCTTTAAGATCATCACACCCAATCGTTACCCAGGATTGCCAAGACTAAACCATTATCACTGAGGGCCTCATCTACATGGGTTTTGAACACTTCCAGGGATGGTGATTCCACCACTTCCCTGGGCAGCCTATTCTAATGGCTGATCACCCTCTCTGTGAATAAATTTTGTCTCCCCACTAAGGGGTATTGCAGGAATACGCTTGACCCAAAGGAGCTGATGGACAGGCACAGGCTAGGACAGAGGAGGACGGAGCACGCAGGGAGAGCAGTGGGACGGCCAGGCAGGCAAGCGGCCGAGCTGGGGAAGGGGGAGGTGAGCAGGGGTCTGCAGTGCTGGTGCCCGGTGTGGGCTCAGAGGGAGGTCATGTCATTAAGTGCATTGTCCAGCTCCTCGCTGATGGCTTTGTACTTCATCTTCTGCGCATACACTTCATCTGCAGGCGGGGGGCAGGCGGGGAGCAGATGGTGGAGCAGAGTGGGGGGCAGGTGGTGGAGAGAGAAAGAGTGGCTGTGAATGGGGGGCTGAGGGTGGCTGAAGCATGCAGGCATAAGTGGAGTGGATGCAGCTCTATTCCCCACCAAAGGCAGAGCCCAGACTCCAGCAGCTGTGCACTCCCACAGTGGACACCATGGCATCCAGCCTCACCCCTTACGGGACCCCTGCCCATCCCCGCACCCCAGCCCACCGGGGGCACATCCCGGCCAGTGCTCCCCAAGAAAGAGGGACATGGGGCCAGTGGGGACATTTTACCTTCTAGATCATCGATGGTTTTCTCCAGCTTCGCCACAGACCTCTCTGCAAACTCAGCACGGGTCTCAGCCTGCAGAGCACAGTGGGGAGAGGGTGAGCTATGGGGTACCACGGGGATGGTACAGGCTGCACCATACCCTGAATCTGCCCCATGTGCATCTCTGGTACTCTCCTCCATGAACCCTCCCCTGGGAAAGGCAAGGGACAAGGAGACCCACACACACTCAATCTGAGCAGGCTGATGGGGAAGCATCCCCAACCAAGGCACCTGCATGCGGCAGGGCTGCAGTTTTAGGAACAGTGAGAGAACACGGGCATAACGGGGTCAAAACCCACACAGGATGGCATGCTTCTGCCTGCACCAATGCAGTGCCAGCCCTGCACACCTTACCTCCTTCAGTTTTTCCCCTAGATACTTGATTTCCTCCTCATACTTGTCCTCCTTGGAGGAATACTGCAGAGACAGAGACAAGTAACCGTGAGCCCCACAGTGATACCCCTGCCCATTCTTCACCCCAAGCAAGAGACCCCAAGCACCCCCAGACCCCACACACTCTGCCCAGCCCCAGCAGCCCCCACCAGGTCCTACCTTGTCAGCCTGGGCCTCCAGGGACTTCAAGTTGTTGGTGACAATTTTCAGCTCCTCCTCTAGGTCACCACATTTACTACATCCCAAGCAGGGGCCGCCAGGAGGGGGAGAGGGATGGGGAGGCAGGAGAGAAGTGGGGAGCAGAAAGAGCGGGTGCAGGGAAGGAGGGAAAGAAAAGAGAGAAAACAAGTTGAGAGAGGAGAAAACTCAGCACAGACGGAGAAGGAGCAGAGCTGCTGCGAGCAGGAGCTGCTGGGGCGCATCCCTTCATCCGTTCCTCGTGCTTCCTTGCACAGACACCCCGAGCATCACTTCTGGTCCCACCAAGGAGAGCAGGGATGGAGGGATGGAGGAGCGTGCCCAGCCTGTGCCCATTGGAGAGGAAGGCGAGGGGAGGTCGGTGGTGGAGGCAGCGGTGCGGAGAGGACAGAAGTGGCTCGCATGGTTTGAGGGACAGCGACAGAGAGAGGGGGCCTGCTGCACGTCGCCCCACACCCCTGCACCAGTACCTCTTCCTCTGAGGCAATGAGGGATTTGAGAGTCTGGTCCATGGTCCGCAGCTCTTCTTCCAACTGTCTCACGCGGCTGGGGCGGAAGAGGGGCACCCCGGGGAGAGGGACAGCAGAGAACAGGGTCAAGGATGTGCTGCCAGTAGGTTGGCATCCCTCTGCCCCCAGCCTGTGAGCCCAGGAACCGCCCCAATGTCAAACCCTGCTGCTCCAAAGAGGGACAACCCCATCCCCACGCAGACATCCCTACAGCTGCCACGGATGTGGGGCAAAGGCTGTATGGGACCCCCTTGCACTGCCCACCCAGAGCTCTGCTCACCTCTCTGCCACCTCTGCCCTCTCTTCTGAGCGCTCCAGCTCTCCCTCAAGGACTACCAGCTTGCGGGCGACCTGTTGATGGAGCAAGAGGCACGTATTGGCTTCATGTCTGCTGGGGACACAGGACTGCAAAGAGGTGCACCAGGGGTCAGGACTGGGGGTAGGGGACACGCACCTCCTCGTATTTGCGGTCAGCCTCCTCAGCTATGTGTTTCGCCTCCTTCAGCTGCATCTCCTGGAGCTCCATCTTCTCCTCATCTTTCATGGCTCTGTTTTCGATGACCTTCATGCCTCTGAGGAAAGCCCAAGCCAGAAAATGTTATTGCTGTGGGTAACTGCTGCCTCTCCTGCCTGCCCACTGCATCCTAACAGCACCATCCTCCAGCTCCAGAGACGTGGGACATCACACATGGGATAACCCTACCACACAGAAGGGTCACATGCTCCTGCACACAATTAGAGCAGTGAAGCTGCCCCCAGGGCCTTGTTCCAAGAGTAGGGAGATGTGGTTATGGTGTCTTTCAACCAGGCAGGTCCTGAACCCGTCATACGAGGGGGAAATGTGTGCAGCCCAGGATGAGCCAGCTGCAACCTTCAGGTAATGCTGGAAAACATCCTGTGGCAAAGAGCCTTTTCTCATTCACGGGTGATGCTCACAAGCAAAGGGGTCACCAAATCCCCATGAACCCTCACAGCAGGGATTCCTGCAGACTCTTCTCCCGTCATTCAGATCCTGTGGCTCAAACTGGTCTTTGCCAATAGAGCGAAGAGCTCACGTAACTGTCGGGAACACCATGACATGTCTGGGCACTCCCTTACAACCTGAGTGCCCTTGCCTGCATGGCTCCTGCCTGGGAAACCTGCCATGAGGATGGAGCAACACACTTTACAGCACTGGTTTTATGAATGAGGCTGGTTTGCTGTCTTAGTTCCCAGGCACAGATGTCCCATGCTGGGCTGCGGAAGGAGGCTGCTCTGGGCCAGAAGACAAGCTCCAAGCACCCCCTGGCTTTGGTTACAGCCTGATATTTAATCAAATTTTTCAGGATTTTGTTGGTGCCCTGGAAATTTCAAAGCCTTTTAAAAAATGCCTGTATCTGGAGAACTTCACTGCATTGTGGCTTTGCCCTATCCCTTTGGGATCTGCAACAAAACCAGCTCAAACCCCATGAGGTCACTTCAGAAGGACCCCACTGTGAAACCAACAGGGCTGCCTGTAATCAGCGGTGACCCGCTGCCACCCCAACTGCCCCTTCTGATCACACCTCTCGCTCTCATCAGCTGCCTTCTCAGCCTCCTCCAGCTTCTGCAGGGCGTTGGCCAGGCGCTCCTGGGCTCGGTCCAGCTCCTCCTCCACCAGGTTCAGAGAAGCCACTTCAGCCTCGGCCTGGGGGAGCAGAAACCCCTTGGTCAACCCCTTGTCTCATATACATACATACATACATATATATACACACACATAAAATACATATATACGTATTTTGGAAAGCATTTTCAGTATTTACATCCACATTTGCTATCCAGAACACCCCTGGCACTGTTCAACAAGCTAGTGCTCACTGGAATGGGATGCCCAACCATGCATCCCCTCGCATTTCCATATGGAAAACAGGGTTTCCTCCATCCCTAGAGCCTTGTTTGACGCTGGCTCCTCCCAGCCACACAACCCCGTCCAGGCACGTGCAGCCCCTCCACTGTGTCCTCACACCTCTGGCTCCCGCCCCGGAGGAGGATGAGGTGCATCGGATGGGGTAGGATGGCCTGCAGCAGCGATGCTGTAACGGAGATGGTATTTGGGGTTTGCAGAGCAGTGAGTAAAGGGGGAGGAATGCCCCGTGCGGCTCCGCTCCCGAAAAGGAGATGGGAGCCGCTTGTGGATTTCCTGTTTACGGAGACAGCGGAGCGAGCCGGGAGCGCCTCCTCTCCTGCGGGAACCCCCCGGCCCTGCGACACGGGGCAGCCTGATGCCAAGCGCGGCCCCCTTACCTCATGTATGGAAAGGCACTGGAGGCAATGCAGCGAGTTGCTCTCAGCAGGCT